TGTTTCTCTTTCTCAGACAGATTTCATGCTGACGGCATTCCAGCCCAACCCCTCCCTCACGCCCAGGCTGCCCTTTCCCATCGGACCCGTGCCCGTCCCCATGGTCATGCCAAGCGCCGACCCTCGGGCCCTCTCCTTCCCCCTCCTCAACCCCGCCATCTCCAGGCCCAACCAGCCTTCCCCGCCGCTGCCCGCGTCCCAGGGCAGGAACAGCCCGGTGGTGGCGTCGCTGATGGGCCCTCACAGCCCCCACCTGAGTCCTGCTGCCTCCATCCCTCCTCCCCCGGGCCTGGGAGGAGTGAGCGTCGCTCCCGAGTTCCAGAGGCCGCAGCCCGCCGATAAGCTGGAGAAGCTGCTGGAGAAGTTGTTGGCTCGGTTTCCGCAGTGCAACAAGTGGGTGTCTCACCTTGGCCTTCCCCTGGGAGCCCTTTGTGGGGGACGTGGGCAGGGGGGTTCTCTTGCTGCCTGGGGGGGGTCTGGAGGGAGCGAGGGAAGCCTGAAGGCAAGGAGCAAAGTCTGGGTGCTCTCTGGGGGGGTTTGCCACGGCACTGGGGAGGAGAAACTGTTGGAGCTCCATCACCAGGAGCACCATGAAGGTGGCACCACCTCAGGAGAGTCTCCAGCCTCCATGGTGGCCGCTGTCTCTCGCTCCAGCAGGTTTCCCCGCTCTTTCCCAGCTTTTTGGGGTCAGAAGCTCCTTCTGCACACGATTCACCTCATTTTAGTCGATAGATGGCTGTGAGCACACACCCCTGTGCTGTGCTGGGGCTTGCCCCGGGGCTGGGGTGGCTGGCTCGTCAGGGGTGGCGTTGCAGGGCCTTTGGGGGTCCGTGGGGGCCGCTGGGCTGGCCGGCGGTGCTGGGGGGCTCTCAGCAGGCCGCTGTCCCTGCAGGGCCCAGCTCACCAACATCCTGCAGCAGATCAAGACTGCTCGGAGGACCATGGCGGGTCTCACCATGGAGGAGCTGAACCAGCTGGTGGCGGCCAAGCTGGCGGAGCAGCAGGAGCGGGCAGCGGCCGGGGCGCAGGTGGGAGAGCAGCAGGGGGGTAGCGGGGGGGCACCGGGCTCCTCG